CGTATTTGGCGGGCAGTGATTCGACGAAGTCGTGAATGTTAGCCAATTGCGAGGCGCGCACCACTTCGTCGAACGGCACGTCGCGCGCGTTCTCGCCGTAAGCGATGTTTTGGCCGATGGTTCCCGAAAAGAGCGTCGGCTCCTGTGACACGAGCGCCATCTGGCGTCGCAACCAATGTCTGTCCAGAGCCATGACGTCACGACCGTCCACTGCCTGCCAATGAGAGCGCGTTATTGCGATTGTATTAATACACAAATATACTGACAATGAGTCCGCGCGACGCGTCGTAGAAGCGTTCGAGGAGTTGGACGGAAGTGGACTTTCCGCAACCGGAAGCGCCGACCAAAGCCACGGTCTGTCCGCTCGCGACGCTCAGCGAGAGTCCGTTGAGGATTCGCGCTTCCGGTCGGTTCGGGTAATGGAAGTGAACGCCGGAGAAGACGACGTCTCCTTTGCACTCCTGTGGCGTCTCCGCACTTCCCATAATCTCTTTGGACTTGCGGTCGAGGAGTCGGAAGATGTTTGCGGCCGCGATCTTCGCCTTCCGGTAGTCCGACGTGAAGACCGACGACTGGCCGACAGTCATAGAGCCGTAGATCAGGGTTTCGATGATAATGAAGAAGTCGCTCGAAGAGAGACTTCGTTGCGAGAGAAGGATTCCGCCGCACAGGAAGACCGCGGCGTACGAGAGGAACACAATGGACAGCGAGAAGGCGAGAGTGAGCGCGCGGAGGATAGTCTTCTTGCGCGCCGTCCGCGCGTTCGAGTCGACGATCTGTTGGAATCGCGTGCAGAAGTGTTGTTCCCGATGTAGAGAAGCGACGGTTCGGATGGAAGACAGCGCTTCTGTGGCCACTTTCGTCGAGCGCTCCAAACACTGTTTGTTGGCCTTGAGCTCCCAGTTGTCGACGGAGGCGCCCACAGCCGACCCCACGAGAATAAAGGGGATGAAGAGCATCGCCACGAGCGACAGTTTCCACGACAACACGAAGCCCAAGATGGCGGACGCGAGGAAAGTGGACAACGCCTGACAGATGATCGCCATTCGCGAGCCCGAGGCCTACGAGAGAGAGAGAGAGAGGAGTGAGCGGGAGAGGGCTCGAGCGCTGCACAAGACTCACGCCCTGGACGTTGGCGGCGTCGGCCGAGAGTCGCGCGCAAAGAGCGCCGCAACTGTTGTCCTGTCTGTCGAACCATCGGATCTCTTGACGCAGAATGGCGTCGAAGGCAAGTTTGCGCAGACGCAGAGTGAGCCGTTCGCCGGCCACTCCGAGAGCCGTCATTTGCGCGACGGATATGAGTCCGACGGCGACCGCTATTCCGACGTAATAGAAGGCGAACGGCGAAGAGCGCCGCCATATGTCTCGCGGGTCGTCTTCGGTGGCGAACACTTCGACGAAAGCGCCGAAAATGAAGGCATAAATGGGAACAATGAGTCCGTAGAGAAGAGACAACAAAAGTCCCAAAAGAATAAA